ATATAGAAGATACTTAGGTAACAGTGATTACACTTCACGTACAAATTCAAGTCCGTCATCTCATGTGGAAAAAATGGAACTGTTAAATGAAAAAAATATAGTGCCAATATGCAAATTGACTTTATAAGTATAACGGTATTCTTATATAAAATATTTCTATTTTTAAAGAATTTTAAAGTCATTTATTTCTGAGGGACACATTTATTTGCTATAAACTTTATATCTTGAAAGTTGACATCTTTTCTAGCTCATTTAGGAAACAGGAATGGTTTGCTCTGCTTATTTCATAACTCACTTTGTTTTAGTTTGTTTTCTTTACGATTACAACGTTCTTTCTGGGCTATAAGTCTGTGAGCATTTAAGAACATTACATAAGGCTGCATAACGTGGTGGTGTGTATCCAATTGTTAGGCAGATCTGACTTCAGTCCCAGTCCATTACTTAAATGACATTACTGTATCGCTTTATGAAAGTTACTTAATTTTTATAAACTTCAGTTCCCTTCTTCTTAAATGGTTTTAACAAGTATCTATTGTTGTTGAGAGATTGGAAATAATGCATTAGCAGTGTCTTAAGCTAAGGTCGATAAAACACACAAATTTTCTTTTCCTAACAGTCAATTAGTATTTTAAGGTGCGTTTCTACATGCAATGTTAAATGTTTTTTATTGTAGTTTAGGTTCTGGGGTACATGTGCAGATCACGCAGGACTGTTGCAATAGGTACATACATGGCAATGTGGTTTGCTGCCTACATCCCCCCGTCTCCTATATCTGGAATTTCTCCCCATGTTTTATTGAAACACACTGAGCCACTGAAATATTTCAACCTGAAAATATCAAGTGGTCAAATAGGTTTTTGAGTTAGCCAAGCAATCATTTAAATATTTTTCATTCTGTGGGCTTAGTACTTGGTTTCTATAACTTTGTAAGAATATTGGGAGAGAGGCATCATTTTGTATTACACACCCTAATTTGTGTTCTCTCGCTTGTGGCAATGTTTATTTCCAATTATAATTTCATATTTTTTGAAAGCTGATAAACTTGTTTAATTTATTGCATAGTATTTTAAAGTATAAGTATATATTTGACTTGTTGTTCCACTTAACAAATTTGTATAATACGTAGATTTTAGCTTTTATTTTTATAGTGTTTTCAGCTTGTTTACTTTTAGTCAAAACGGGGCAATGTGACCTAGTGAAAGCAACCTTAAAATCAGAGTTGAACATTTAATCTTTTTAAAGATTAATTCACATATGATCCTGGAGCAAGTTACTTCTTTTTCTTCTTTACTCCAGCTTTCTAATAAAGGTCATCAGAAAAAAAAAAAATTTCTTTTAAAAAAAGTCTTGTTGACATTTAAAAAACAAATGAGTTAGTGTAAATTTGGAAGTTTAACATTTTTAGATGCATATATACCTTCTTAAACTGGATATTTCTAAAGTACTCTGAATAATTTTAGAAATGTAATATTGTGTTGGGAGGAGGAATCACAGATGGACTGCATGAGTAATATCTGAGTTTTTGATAAAATAAAGCAATAACCTGGGCTTACAGAAAATAAGGCTTCACTAGGCCATGTGTCTCCCATCAGGCTGTAGCAATGACAGGTAATTTAAATCGCTGTCAAAGTATTTGGAAATTTTAGAATGGCTTCCAATCCAATGCTACAATTGCTCGTATATGAAAATGTGTACTACCACACAGAGTATCCTACAACTTAAGTGCTTTCCACTGTGGTTCAGTTTTTTGCCTTTGTCCATATTTCTTCATTTCATTTTGTTCTTTCTCATCAAATTATGTCTGGATTTCCTCATTTAGAACTTGACATTTTATTTTCAGCATCTTACAAACCTGCAACATTTTGTCTTATCCATTTATGTCATAAGTTAGATCTATATTATATCTTGTATTGAGAATCATTGCAAGTAGTTTCCTCTGTATATAACAAAATAAGACTATTTTATGCAATTATTATTTATAACATATAAATGTCTGTCATACAGGTGCCCAATAAATATTTCATGAATTCTGAACAAATGAAGTCAATAAAAAAATGAAATTACCAGTTAATTAATCATCCACAAATATTTCTGGAGCGTTTACTATGTATAAAATATGTGTTAAAGCTTAGAATACAAAAATATATACCATTGCCTCAGCTTTTCAGGAAGATAAGTTTATTAGAAAGGTCATAGACCCTGTAACAATAGCTTTACATATGTTCAAAATCAGACGGTCATGGTGGCTCATGCCTGTATCTCAGCACTTTGGGAGGCCAAGGCAGGTGGATCACAAGGACAGGAGTTCCAGACCAGACTGGCCAATATGGTGAAACTCCGTCTCGACTAAAAACAAAAAACAAAAAAATTAGCCAGGCGTGGTGGCCGACACCTGTAGTCCCAGCACTTGTGAGATGAGGCAAGAGAATCGCTTGAATGCAGGAGGCAGAGGTTGCAGTGAGCCGAGATTGTGCCACTGCACTTCAGCCTGGGTGACAAGAGCGAAACTCCATCTCAAAAAAAAAACCCGAAAAACCAAAAACAAAAAAAAAAGACTCTGTCTCCGGAAAAAAAAAAAAAAAAAGTTCAAAATAACATAGAAGCTATAGAGACTGGGGAGTGAGAGCAGTGTAAACCTTTCACTGGACATGCAACAGTTGAACTAACTCTTGACAAATTAGGAAAAAACTTCCTAGACAGAAGATAGAGAATAAAGCTAATGTCATGTTCATAAAGGGTAACGTTTTTGAAAATAATCATAGTGTTGACAGATAAGGAAGATGTAAATTTGCTAGTTGATGGTTTTAGACTTTAAAAAATTATATACTAGATACAAATTTTAGCTAAAATACTGTGATTATTAGATTTGTTTCTTAGAAATATAACTTTGGAAGGAGTAAACTAGTTTTTATTAGAGTAAACTTTGGAGGTGTGAGGAGAATCTGTACCTTGCAACCATCCAAGCTGGTCAGGAGACTGCTGAAATATTATAGATGTGTGCATGGAAATGGAAAACTACTAGTTTAAAGGTGAAATTGTCAGGAACTGGTGCCCCATTGAGTAAGAACATTGAGGACAAAAAATATACTTTTACTAATGTAAATAGTGAAATTATAAAATTTAGGGTAGACATACTGGATCTGAAAGAAATTGTCTTATGAGTTTCACATTTTATGAAATAAGAAAAAAATTAATACAGAATGCTGAAAGAGATGGATGTTTGATTGAATGCCATGTCTTTAGTTTATATTGATGCTAAATTAAGAGCTATGCATTTGCTGGGCGCGGTGGCTCACGCCCATAATTCCAGCACTTTGGGAGGCCAAGGCGGGTGGATCACGAGGTCAAGAGATTGAGACCATCCTGGTCAACATGGTGAAACGCCGTCTCTTTGCTAAAAATACAAAAAATTAGCTGGGCACGGTGGCGCGTGCCTGTAATCCCAGCTACTCAGGAAGCTGAGGGAGGAGAATTGCCTGAACACAGGTGGCAGAGGTTGCAGTGAGCCGAGATGGCGCCATTGCACTCCAACCTGGGTAACAAGAGGGAAACTCCGTCTCAATAAATAAATAAATAAATAAAATGTAATCTGTATGAACTATGTATCTTCATTAGGAAACCATTCTAGGTATCCACTTCACAGTGCATGGGTCCTTTTGCTTTATATAATATCCACTCTTTGACACTGTATCTTAGTGTTATGGTTTAACTGATACACATTTACAGCACTGGCCGTCACTCTTTTTTTTTTTTTGAGATGGAGTTTCGCTCTTGTTACCCAGGCTGGAGTGCAATGGCGCGATCTCGGCTCACCGCAACCTCCGCCTCCTGGGTTCGGGCAATTCTCCTGTCGCAGCCTCCTGAGTAGCTGGGATTACAGGCACGCGCCACCATGCCCAGCTTATTTTTTGTATCTTTAGTAGAGACGGGGTTTCACCATTTCGACCAGGATGGTCTCGATTTCTTGACCTCGTGATCCACCCGCCTCGGCCTCCCAAAGTGCTGGGATTACAGGTGTGAGCCACCGTGATATCCACAGTGCCTTGAATAGTGTCTGCAGCAATCACAGGCCAACCTGTGGATGCCACTGAATTGATGGATGCATGAGCAAGTAATTTCTTTATAGACTTGTATTTGGTTGAATGAATTACTTGTGATTTTCAATGCACATTAGTGAAGAGTCAAATGATGTCTGTTGATTAAAAAGTAGTACACCTAAAGCAGCATAACATTGTGAAAGAATTGTGGACTAGGAAGTTAGAGGACCCTCACATCTAATTTTCAGTTTGTACCATCTGAGTTTCTTCATCTGAATGTGACAATAAAATGGGCCACTTTATAGAGTTGTTGGAAGTATTACAAAATAACATACAAAGCAGGTCGCACAGATAAATTCTTATTTTTATTTATGTAACTTACCTAAACGGCTTGTCAATGTGTGGCATGAATGGTCAGAGACTAGCTTGGCCCTTTTTATAAAAAAGTTAAACTTCACCTTAAAAATGAAGCAGTATATTTACATTAAATAATTTAGTTAAACAAATCAGAGGCTGTCTTTTAGTATCATTTTTGCTTTTCTTTGATATTAATAAAAATGGTGTATTTTTGCACATTTTTGGAAGTAAAAGGAAGCCATGGAGCAGAAATGTATCAGGAATATTTAAAATACATTTTACTAATCAAAAAAGAGGATACAAGCAGGGAAAACTAATAACTGATTTCAAGCAAGTTCTGAGAAAACGTAAAACTCATTTGGGTAAAAATACTCAGCTCTAGAAAACGGTGCATTTAAATAAAGAAAGGATAATAGCATTTGAAAAAATACGAAACACAATTTGTTCTTATTGTACATCTTCCTTCTATTCACAAGGAAAAAAATAATAAGATTGATTGCAATCAAGATTGTCTTGTGAGACTGAAAAGGAGAAAAGCAGTTCGGGTACTTACTGATGTACATTCACATTTCGATATGGGAAAATTATTTTATTTTTGTTTTATAGATTTACTTGCGATTCTTGGACTATGAGATGCAGAATTCAAATGAATGCAAGAGAAATTTTGTGGCTGTGTATGATGGAAGCAGTTCCGTGGAGGATTTGAAAGCCAAGTTCTGTAGCACTGTGGCTAATGACGTCATGCTACGCACAGGTCTTGGGGTGATCCGCATGTGGGCAGATGAGGGCAGTCGAAACAGCCGATTTCAGATGCTCTTCACATCCTTTCAAGAACGTAAGATTTCTGCACTTGACTGTTTGTCCTTCATATATGCCATATAATGCCAGTTTCACAAGCTGTTATTGGTGTTTTCTTCACACAGTTTGAGCACAGCAGGCTATTCTCTAATACATTGTTTAAACCACTAAGATTCCCTTTTCTCATTTTGATCCACTAATGGTAGAGAGTTACATATTACATTTTACTTTCTTATTTCAACATATGCATCATAGCCTTAAGAGAGTTCACACTATTCATCTGGGAAATGATGAATTTTGTTTGTCTTTGGTTTAGCTCTTAAGAAGCATATGGAACTGATGCAGCAGCTTCTGATGAAGTTTGGGTTTAAATCTTAAAAAAAAACCTGCATGAAAATATTTGGTAGGTTCTTTTTAGTAAGCTTCTCTTACAGTCCCATTCATTTCAAGTAGGTTTATGACTTCAGAGTTCCAATTAAAGTAGGTATGGAAAGAGAATTGCTTTGGTGGACAGTAAATAGGAAAAGTTTCTGAAAATATTTAAAACAGCACAATCGGTGATATCCAGAGTCAAGTGCAAATCACAGAAACTTTAGAAAATTATATTCTAATAAATAATGAGTCATATTAACAGATGTAGTTTGAATATTTGTTAGAAACCCTGAATATTTCATATGTTACAAATGTATGCAAACAAAAAAGAATTCTGAGAAATTTAGCTTTAAGAAATAAGTGCCTTGTGACATGAACAGACACTTTGAAAAGAAGAACAGACATTTTGAAAAGAAACATTTATGTAGCCAACAAATATAAAAATGTTCAACATCACTAATGGTTAGAGAAATCCAAGTCAAAACCACAGTGAGAAACCATCTCACACCAGTCAGAATACCTGTTGGTGAAAGTCAAACAATGACAGATGCTGGTGAGGTTGAGGAAAAAAGGGGAACACTTATGTACTGCAGGTGGGAATGTAAACTAGTTCAGGCACTACGGAAAGCAGTTTTGCAAATTTTCAGAGAACTTAAAACAGAAGCATCATTTGACCCAACAATCCCAATACTGAGTATAAATTGTTCTGCCTTAAAGACACGTGCATGTGTGTGTTCATCACACCACCGTTCCCAAATTATTCCCATAGCAAAGGAATGGAGTGAACTGAGATGCTGATCCATGTTAGATGGCACAAAAAAATGTGATACATATACACTGTGGAATACTATGTAGCCATAGAAAAAAAATGATATTATGTACTTTTCAGCAACATGGATGGATCTGGAGGCCATTATTCATAGCAGTCTAATATAGTAACAGAAAATTATATACCACATGTGCTCACCTATAAATGAGAGCTAAACATTGAGTCCATATGGACACAAAGAAGGGAACAACAGGCTCCAGAACCTACTTAAAGGTGGAGGTTGGGAAAAGGGTCAGGATCATAGTATCTCTATTGGGTACTATGCTTATTACATGGATGATGAAATGAGTTTTAGACCAAACTCCCATGGCACACATTTTATCTATATAATAAATCTGCACACATAGCCCTGAACCTGAAGTGGAAGTTAAAAAAAAACTTTAAATGAAAAGAAATAAGTACCTTGCATTTCACAACTATTTGCTTTTTAATTAATAGAAAACACAATACACTATTTTTGAAATTTTAATGATTTCTCTTATTTTCAGCAGCAGAGCAGCCAATGCTGTTTTAATTCATAAATGTCAAATGTGCTAGACAGTTATTTTGTAAACCAAACAAATAGTTTTGGCTTTAAATTCCCTTTTAATTACCTAGTTGGGGAATTTTAGGACACCAGAAATGCTGAATGTCACTCAAGCTTTCTAAATCTTGACACCATCTTCCAGTGTGTCCAATATCTCTCTCAGCTTTAGGTTGGATTTAAATAGTATGCTGCTATGTCTTGGGTTCAGTGGTTGATTAAAATGTTAGAGGTACTGCATTCTTATCTCAGCAAAATATTTGAACAAAATGTTTTCATTGTATTGACAACCACATGAAATTCAGGCTACAAGACAACACCTTTGGTTGTTGACTACTCTACCAACTTCAATGAACAACTCCTTCAGTGAGGGTATCCCGGGGTTCTGTATTTATTCAGTATTCTTATCAATCTTGGGTAATAGCATACTGAGAACTCATATGTAATTTAAATGCAAAACTATGGAAGGGAAAGCAAATTTATTATATAATATAGTCAAGACTTCTAAAAAATAACAAAAATCTGCAATTTTTATCAAAAGTATACCATAAAATATAATAGAGATATATGAAAAAAATTATATTTCAAAAATCCATAGCATAGAGGAACCTCTGACTCCTAGGACTTTCCTGTGGTCTTATTTCAAACTCAAAATGAGTCAATACTTTATGACTGACAAAATAATCTGAAATGGTATTAGCCTGTATTAAAGTTAGTAGAGGCCGGGCGCGGTGGCTCAAGCCTGTAATCCCAGCACTTTGGGAGGCCGAGGCGGGTGGATCACGAGGTCAACAGATCGAGACCATCCTGGTCAACATGGTGAAACCCCGTCTCTACTAAAAATACAAAAAATTAGCTGGGCATGGTGGCACGTGCCTGTAATCCCAGCTACTCGGGAGGCTGAGGCAGAAGAATTGCCTGAACCCAGGAGGCGGAGGTTGCGATGAGCCGAGATTGCACCATTGCACTCCAGCCTGGGTAACAAGAGCGAAACTCCGTCTCAAAAAAAAAAAAAAAAAAAAAAAAAATGTTAGTAGAATAACAATGCAAAAAAGATTTTAGCCTCATGGGAAGCTGCACCAATCAAAATGCAGAAGGCACAGTCTGTTTTTTCCCGACTGTTATTAATGAGAAGATTGATCACCTAGAGGAGGCTGACAAAGATTTAATGCCAAATACGAAGAAACGTTTACTTTAGAATTTGTTGTTGTTGTTCAGAATGTGATAACTACCTCAGACCTGTGTCTCATGGGTCTTAAAGATGAGATTTATGTTTAAAAGTTATAGGAAAATTTTGAGTGCAGTTTAGGGGGGAAATGTTTATCTTATGAGTTGTGATATTCAAAATTGGAATAGATGCTATGAAGGATATGAAATATGGATAGATGGGTGATTGGATCTCAAAATGGATTGTAAGCTGGCATGAACAGTATAGGGAAAACATCTTAGTAAGGTAGGTGAAAAGACTGGCTAACATCAAAGATCCCCTTCAACTGTGTTCTATGAGCCTTTAAAAATCTGCATAGATAAGAAATGGTGAACTGTATATATGGTGCATATATTATTATAAATATGTCTATTTGAGATGGTTAAAAATAGTTTCAATGCATGTGATGAAGTTATCTCTGGAAGTCATTGAAGTGGGTTGACTTCTCAGTGAGTAACCCAAAGACACAGGGTGTTCTTCCTACAGAGGCACCCAACCCACTATGTTCTTGCACACTGGACAAATGATCACACTCTTCAAATGATGAGTATTACAACGACATTCTCTGTGATCATCTCATAAATTAGAGTAAATTTCCACTGAAACAGGGTTATCCTTGATGTCATGTTACCTTCTATGTTGGTCTGACTGGTTGTGTGACACCCCTTTAAAAATTCATATTTAAAAATTCTGTTTCCAAGATGAGGGTAAGGGGGTGGGGCATTTGAGAGGTGATTACGTCATAAGGAGAGCTCTCATCATAGGCGTTAGTCCTCTAATTATAAAGAGGGCCAGAGAGCGGCCTTGCCCTTTACAGGTGGGAACACAGCTAGAAAGTTTCATCCATAAACCAGGAGATGGGCCCTAACCAGACACCAAATCTGCCAGCACCTTGATCTTGGGCTTCTAAAATCTAGAACTGGGAGAAATAAAATCCTGTTTTTTTATAAGCTCCTAATTTATTGTAGTTTGCCATAGTAACTCAAGCAGACTGAGAAGTTGCCGGGTGTATTTGTCATAATGTTTTACTTTTACTGCATTGGCTAAAATTGTGCAGAATTCTACCATGATTTATACCTAATATCAAAGTCATCCTGTGTTGAAGTATGTGGGCATTAGACTGAATTCACTGAAGTGAAAGTTTTCCAGATAAGAGATGAAGACTCAAAACAACAGAAAGTGGACTTCAACCACTGCTCCTGCTTGGAAATAGGTGGATGAGAATCATTTTAAGAGGAAGCACAGCGACTTTGTTCAGGGAGTTTCAAGTTCCTCAGATGGTATTGCCTTATCCAAATATTAGTGGCTGAGAGAGAATTCTGACTTACATTTTTGTTCCGGCAGATTATTTTGGTACTTGTAGATGGTGATAGTTACACAAACTATTTATGTTTATTTTATATATGGCTAATATATGCAATTACATTAATGGAATGTATATTAGTGTACATATAACCTAATATATAATTATACATCTAACATGTAACCATGTATGTCTAACATATAATTATGTACATCTAATATATATTTAACGTATGTATGTATGTGTGTGTGTGTATATATATATATAATTACAGGTAATAATATATATATATATATATATATATATATATATATATACAATTACAGGTATTATCTAATGTTTAGTCCACTCATACCCAAGCATGCAGTAAAAGCTGGAGATACAAAATCAGTGATCAACCTTGGTCTTACTCAAATAATAAAAAACTACCTGGATATATTTCCTGGTGCCTACTTATAGTTATAAAATAGCATCCCCAGTTCAGTGGTGAAATGCTTAGCTCATGCTAGGGCCTGAATGTTTGTGACCCTTCACAACTAAGAGTTTGAAATTTTTAATGTTGTTTACAAGCCATTCGTCTATGGTATTTTCTTCTAGTGGCCCAAGTGGAAATAGACAGAAAATTCGCCCTGATATGTGGGGGTGCTGCTAGAACAAATACCTCCAAATATGTGGCGATGGCTTTGGAACTGAGTAATGAGGAGAGGCTGGAAGAGCTTTTCAGTGCATGCTAGGAAACATGTACGTTGTCATGAGCAGATCATTAAGGATGATCCTGTTCTGGGCTCAGTAGGAGAGGAGGA